GCAGTAAAATATCAGCACTGTGATCTTCAATGCGTGATTGAATCACATCATTCAATAGCAGAATTTGTTGAATTTTCTTTTGTGCTTAAAAACCAAACAAAATTTTTGCAATTTCAAATGCACATGGTTTAACTAGTTCTTCAGCTATTGTATGGCTCTTTTTTTTCTTAGCACATAGATAAGAAGCTTCTAGCAAAGGCTTTTCAACTGCTGCAACGTTAAATTTTGTAATAGTACCACTGGCATCAAATCGTGCTTTCTTAAATTTCAAGATGTTAAAGACTATATCCTGCAGATTCACTACCATGCTGATTATTGAAATGTTCTAACAACTTTGAGGGTTTAGATTGGAGTTGGAAAATATTTTGCAACATTTAAAAATGATTGTGGTCGTTGCATACCATCTTTTTCCGTTGTACAAGTAAATCCAAAAGCAACATAATCATCTTTCCGTTGACGCTTTTTTGGTATAATAAGAGTTACTACAATTTTAAAAATTGTATATTGATATAAATTTTTATCGATGGGTAAATTTATTTAATTTCAATAAATACTACATAACAATAATTAATTAAAGTAAATATTGTTACAAACCTTGTTTGCATTCTTATTCAAGGTATGCGAACACATCTCAACTAGTTTCTGCACTGCACATGACAATGTGACTGCATTAACCACTCTGCAGTGATCAATGAATATACCCATCAAGGGCGATCATGTGGCACTGGTGAACGTCAGCTATATCTACAAAATTCTTTTGCAAATATTGCCGAAAACTAGCTAAAAACTACCACAAAAAAAAATTCACATAAAAAAATTGTGTGACAATAAAAAAAAATTTTTCTTTACTAGACATAACTGTTTAAAAAATTTTTTTCTGAAACGGTAACAAGAAAAACGCATGGGAAAATACTTGAAAAATTTCCCATGTTTATTCTCCACTACATCATGATAGCGCCACAGCTGACTAACTCACTGTACAAAAGTTAACTGCATGTACTGATGACAAGCTTGATGTGCTAAGACGGTAGAGTGTCTTAGCACATCAAGCTTGTCATCAGTCGAAGTGAGATGATAGAGAGTGAAGTGGGGGATGCTATGTTGCTGGGTACCATGGTTTGTAGAGAACACAGTTGACTTGTTCATATATATATATATTTTTTTTTTTTTTTTTTAATTTTTTAAATTTCTCTCACACTCCTGGAAATGTTCTCTCGCACCACCAGGGGTGTACACACCCCAGGGGTGTACTTCTGTTATATATTAATGTTTTAGAGTTATTATGTACTTCAGAAAATCAGTTTAATTTTGTTGTTTTTAAATGATAAATGGAGTGAAAATATTTATTATTATACAAAGATTAAATCTCAAAGCATAATTTTCTTTTCAATTTTAATATATAGGAAGAATGCAGATCACATTAAGATATATTTTCAATGATGATAATTTATTTTCATAGTTATTGTTTTGATATTTGCATTCTTGGCTGCATTATCTCTTAAAAATGTACTCTTTTTATTGAGATTTATAATAAATTGAAACCACATTCATATACTATATTAAACAGAATGTCTGCAGTATAATGCTGTACTGTATATTTAATACACAGGCAGTCAAAAAGCTCCCAGAATTATGGTATAGCACTATAATGGTATGACATATGGAAATACTTACCTAATTACCTTCAAAATAGGACCCTTTGGCATACACAAGCACATCACATTGATCTTGCCATTGTTGGAAGGCTTCTTTTGGAAAATTCAGGAGTTTGGCCATCGCACTTGATTTGATGTTCTCCATGGTTGCAAAACACTGCCCCTTGAGAACATCACGCCTCATCACCAGTGAGCTTTGTGAGAAATCTTAAGGCCTGTTTTTTCAAACAGATCTCCAGCAATCAGCATGTGACATTCTATCTGACCTGTGGTTAACTGCTTTGGAACACACTTCATATTAACATTTCATTTTCAGATTGTCAATCAGAATTGCATGAATGGATCCATGAGAGGTACCAACTCAATTGTGGTGGTTCGTTACGGAACAGGTATACAATTCCGCAAACAAAAAGTTACAAACACAAGAAAGATACAAAATTCAATTATCACACAGAAACTTTACTTTAGGAATCCCAACTTAACAAACTTTATGCTTCTTTTATACAGAAAAAAAAGGAACAGGCTTGTCCTCCACTGTTGGCGGGGTTCCTACGCGTGACAACAAAAAAAAATACTTATATAACTAACTTATATCTATCTTATAACTAATGGAAAAATTAAGAACGTAGGTCAGATGAATATGGAAACAAAAGGTAGGGGGAATAGAAATACCCGAGATTTCTTTCGGTACGTATATACACTGTTCAAAGTATGGTGCCTCTTTGCTATCTTTTTCCCCAAGGGCTGTTCTACTCTTCTCGATATCGAAGAATTCTGCTCGTTCCTTGGACTCTTCGTTGTCCTCACGGCCCTTTTCTTTTATTATCGCCTTTTTCCTTTCTTGCCGGTTCAGGTCACAAGCGCTCCTTTCTCGATCTGCTCTTCGGAGTCTCTCTCCAGAATGCTCTATTTCTGACCGGTCTTTTCCCATGGGCCCACTCCCTCTCTTGTTTGTATTTTCTTAGAAGAAGTAATCCTACCCCAGGGGCAAAAGGGTTAGATCAGAAGGTCTTAGAAGAGAAAGAAACAGGAAGAAAGGATAGGATTAATTCAAAAAAATATATATATATATATATGTTACTGTGAATGACCGATATCTGGTGAATGTCAGCATTCACACAGTTGTTTAGTGTATGTACAAAATATTTGCTAAATATTATTATTTCTCACTTACACCAGCAAATGTCAACATTCATCATGCACTGATGGTGAATGTTGAATAAAAGTATTTTTATTACGTTAAGACAAAAATGCAACTTTTTAATATGTCAAAATAGGAGAAAGCTTAAGTAACACAGCACATGTAAATAAACTGTTGAATCTAATATGAACAGTACATTCTAAATCATTAAAGAAAATAATACAATAATACACTTACACATAAATTATGTGATTAACGTTATATGATATTATTTATTGCAACAACTTAAACTGTTATGGCACTTTGAATTGCACAAAAGTCCCTTGCTTTTAAAACTGTATTTATTCGTGGAACACTTCTTTTTGCAATGACAGCGTGTATAGCCTTGCCCTCCACTTTTTGAATTAGCTGCAGCTGCTTCTCTCAGTGATATTTCTTGAGAAGATATCTCATCTATGGAAAGTAACTTTTCTTTACAAATTATGAACTCATTATGGGTATAAAGCTGCTTGAGGGTACCATTTTTGCTTGTTAATTTATAAAAGTCGAAGTCTTCTATTCAATTAACAACCGCCAACACATTTCGGGCATCTGTATGGCCACGGTCGACATCAGGGACTTGTATTCATACAGTATCACCAATTTGTACAGAAGGAAACGGCGAAGAATTTGGCAACAGACTCGCCTCTTTATCGACATCGGCTTCTCGGGTGTCGTTTCGACCTCCACCAAAGCTTATCTGTGCTTGTCGACATACACCGGCGATTGTTCGAATGTATAATAATATAACCAAATATTCAGTCTTTCACCAACGTATTTTGTGTGTGTCGACATTCACCGGAGAATATCGACATTCTCTAATTTCGGTCTTTCACAGTAACATATATACAATATCATGGCCGATGGTCACACAATAATGATTATTTGTGGATCAGAATGATCAGTTGTGCTTTGGCCAGGTGGCAACCTAATGTCATCCTATCTGTCCTAAAATGGAGACAGTACCAACAAGCTAGAATATACTACAGTATAAGATATATTCTAGCTCTTTGCCTTATATTGTAGTATATTATATACCTTATCTGTAGTATATTCTAGCTTGTTGGTTAGTACAGAGTGCAATCTCTCATTGCTCTGAAAACCTTTACACGAAAGAAAAGTCTGCTGTGATAGACGTCACCTCGTATGGGGATACAGGAATTACTTCAAGTGTTTGGGGGCAGAGAAATTGACCCCTGAAAATAGGCAACTGTGATTCCTGTAAATGTAGTCAGTCAGTGACTTTTTACTTGGTGAGGAGTCACTGCTGTGATTCCTGATCTTGGGGGGGGGTCATTTTCTGACTGATTCCAAATTCCATCCTAACTGTTTAAATTCATCAGCAAAATTTACAAAAAGTGTAATGATGTGGGGATGTATAACCTGTAAACGGGTTGGTGAAATGGCAATCCTTGATAGTACATTGAATGATGATAGCTACTGGAGCTATTAGAATCTTTGGTAGTTAAAACATCAGAAAATCACTTTGATGATGAGGATTTCACCTATCAGGATGACAATGCATCATGCCATAGGGCTAGACAAATTAAGCAATGGTTTCAAGAACATAACATACAGCATTTAGAATAGCTTCTCAACAGTTGATATATCTATTGAAAATATTTGGAATGTTCTGAAGAAAATTATCTCTAAAAAATGAGCTACAACAATAGAAGAATTAAAGAAGACAGTCACAGGTTGATCCAGAACTGTGTAAAAAATTTATTTCTACAACGCCACAAAGAATTAAGGTTGTAATTAGGGCAAAAGGTGGCCTTACAAAATATTAATCATCATTATTCCATACTTTTATTATAATACTTTTATTCAATTCTAAAATGCTGTAATTTTGTAATTTATGCAAATATGTTTTCAAAGTTTGGTGTGTAAATACTCTAACATGTCTATTATATTTGCCAATTATTAAAAGTTCACTAATAATTTGAAGAGTTTGATTATTTAAGGATTAAAATAATTTTTCTGCAATAATTACAAAATATTCCATACTTTTGTTCAGGGGTAGTATATTGTACTTAGGTAGGTAATTAGTGTACAGTTAAGATGAATTTAAAAAGAAATAAAAAGCCAGTCTGTTTCATACAAATTTTAAAGTTAAGCTTAAACTGATTCAAAACAAAATTTTTCAACAGTAGTGTGTTCACTTATTTAAATGAAGCTGTACAGAAAATTTAAGTATTTTATTTATTCAAAAGAATGTTATAATATGTAATATATAATTTACAAAATATTCAAATCAACTAATTGTCTTCTCTTTCTTCAGAGGGTATCCACCTTCTTAATAGAACTTCCTGAAAATATTTTTAAAATAAATTCATATCACAATTAAATGTACAGAAAAGAAAATTCTATCATAAACATTTATACCTGTATATTAAATGTTGGAATACAAGAAGGATCTAACAGATCTGTATCTTTGTTTTTCATTACATAACATAATAGTGTGTCCTGTTAGAGATGAATTTAACAATATAAGTTTTTAATAAGAGTTCATTAGGATCAAATGAAAATTAAATTTTAAGGTAATATTTACTTTAGCTACATGTTCATTAACTCTGTTTAAAGAAAGTAATTCCAACCATGTTAAAGACTGCTCGTTAAAATCTGATGATACTTCGCGTACAACAACACAATAGGTGGAATGATAAAATGCTGGACCATCTTTGTACAAAACTATAAAGAAAAATCAATAATTAAACTGTAAAGAAACAAATTTTCACAAATACACACACACACACACCCACCATATTTTGATTTTAAGTGCCACTTTACTGTTAAATTTTTCTGTTAAAAATTAAAATAAAAAAAAAATTATAAGTCTAGTTTTTAAAGAATTTATTATAAAGAAAACTAAATTGTTGTTTCTTTTCTTCATAACAGTCAAATAGACTAGTTCTGACACCACCTTTGGGAATATAGTAATGAGACTGAATTTAAGGCCCCCAAAAAAGCAATCTGATATGTCTCTCATTCCTGTCTTTGTTTAGTTGCAAAAATTCAGCTTTCAAGTATTATTACTTTATTCCACTATTTATGGTTGGCCTTATGGTTGCTTGTTGCTCTCCAAAAACTGAAGTGTGTCAAAGAATATCCCAAATTTAAGATGTACCTCAACTTTTTTCTTAAATTCAAAGTAATGTTATAATATTTATTATTAGATGTGTCTTTTTTATACTATATGAATATATAAGTGAGAAATAGAGATTTTTTTACAAGCTAGTGTTCATTCAAGACTTTATTTTTGTGTGTTAAGCCAACTGTTTTAAAACAACTTTCATATGGATTAACTGTTTCATTTCAATATGTTCAATTACTTTAGTAATTATAGAGTCTGTTTTCTTTGATTTATGATAATTAGCATTCTATTATGAACAGAATTATTGTATTTATTTTTTGAATTTTAGAAATAATAGTATTTTCAAACCAAAACATTTTTTAATGAAGGATCAGGTATAACAAGACACCATGGTGATATTTCTGTGAATGCAAAGACTTAATTTGTAAATTTAGGTGTAGTTTTCAAAGTTTCAGACAAATGACAATATTCTTTTCATGTACTTTACATTATTGAATGTTTTTGACAAATGACTTTATTCATATGGCATTTTTCCTAGCAAGCACTAAGAACAACTTATGTTATAATTTTCTGATCAAATTAATAGTTATATACTAACTAATCAAGAAATAACCAGACAATGAGTACAGCAGTTCAAAGGTAATTTGCATAGCAATGCAACTTGATAGGAATTGAGAGGTATAGATTAGGTAAATGGTAGCACAGCCATGTCAATAGTTTTCATGATCCTATAATAGAATGCAAGTGTCTAAANATTTGGCCATGAAAAAGCATTAGCAAACTTGACAATGCCACACACACAAACACACTATCTTTTCACTTATGATTGTGCACCTCAACACCTTTCATTTACACACTCCACAAGAAACTTGTAAATGTCATCTGTCAAAGAACAATTCAAATATTCTAGAGGGTATAGATTAGGTAAATGGTAGCACAGCCATGTCAATAGTTTTCATGATCCTATAATAGAATGCAAGTGTCTAAACTAGAGCAATGTGCTGTAATAAGGTTCCTAACTGAAGAAGGAACTGGAGACATGACAAATATGTACTAACAACACACACCCACGGGAAGGCCATAAGACACATCTTTGTGAGCTGAAGAAAGGCAGATGATTTTGATTCAACTAGCAGTATGGGGGTGCTGTCCTCATTTGGCTCTGTGCCCATCCTGAAACTTTTTTTATATGCAAACTCATGTGACTCTGGGATGGTACAATAAATGCCTCAATGGCCAGGGCAATTATGTATAAATTAAAATGAACTCCTTACCTTTTATTGTAATTAGATGGTTATTTATTGATCACACTTATACATTAGTCATTAAATAATAGTCAAGAGAGAATTTTTTGTCATTTAACTTTATTTCTTCATTTTATCTTTTTTATTTTCTCTAATATTAGTTTAATTTTTAAAGTTTTATGAATGTAGGGTGATCCTGTCAAATGTCCCTACTTATAAACTGTCCTGTAAAATTGATATATTGTGAAGATCGCGAATACCGTTAACAAAGAGACACAATTTTTACAATATAAAGGTCTTTTATTCGCGTACAGAGTACAGGAAATATTTTTAAGATGCCAGCTATTATCTCTATCCCTGGACAATATATCTTAATATTAACAACATAGACTCAACAAACAAAATTAAATAATTCGACAATTCCTTACTTTTAATAACTATTCTACTAATAAACTATACACTCAAATCTTAGGGCTAAACTTACGGCTAATGATTATATACTAAAAGTGAAAACTAGATTTTAGACAAGACAGAAACTAAGAGATAAAGGTGAAAGACAAAGGAAGTTGGGTACCCAAATGTTTCCGGCGTGTTTCACGGGGAATGAAAAGTTCTTTCCGACGGACTTTCTGATTTCACTAGACACTTTAGAACGAATGAAAGCAACCTTCCCAGTATTCGTTCTCCTCCGTTTTCTTTTCTCTTCCTAAAGTTCGTTCTGGTTTCCACTCGGTTCCAATACCTCCAAGAGCTTGCTTCACACGTCCTTTTCCGTCTCGTACTCTCTACCAGAATGCCCTCCTGTACCCCTTTTTACCCTGAGGGTCACACCTTCCCCTTTGTTTCACAGGGGTCCCCCGCTGTTCCACCGTTAAACAAAAAAGGGAAGAAACTTCCAGAAAGACAATAGAAAAGGAAGACAAAGGAAAATATATAAAGAAAATATGAATTATAACTATACAATTATGGCTTGTAGCCACAATATGAATAAATCATTTGATACTTCACTGAACAAATGCAACCTGTTAGAACAAATTTTCAATTAATAACATATTTTTATTTTGTCATCCATAAAAAATTTATAATAAAAAAAAATTGTTGTTGTTGCTGATATTTCTGATCAAGATCAACAAAGCTCAGATGATGATGATACTTTGTAAAAAAAAAATGTGCTTGCTTAACTACAATTAATATTAACACGTAATATAGTACTTTTAATTGTCACTGTTTGCTAATTATTGATTGCTTTACTAAACATATTTCTCTTAGTAATGAAAAAGAAAAGTATACTTTTGTTAACTTTTGGAGCCTAACCCTTGGGTGTGTGTCCTTTGTTTTGTATAGCATGGATTTGCATAACATGACACTTTTTCAGAACATAACTAGTGTTATATGAGGGATACCTGTATGTAATAAAAATATATTGGGTTGATGCAAAATTTTTTGAAATTGGAGTTTTATAATAACAACATTTATTTCAAAAACGAAAAATAGTTTGTTCAAGAAAATAATTGCCATTACATTCAAGCACCATCTTCATTGAGTGGGTAAGTCATGGATTCCTGCTGAATAAAACTCTGGCTGTTTTGGCTCAAAGAACTCTGCAAATGTAATTTCCATCTCCTCCTCATCAGCAAACTGCTTTCCATCCAAGAAGTGTTGCATGGAGCAGAAGAGATGATAGTCAGATGGTGCTATATGGGGGGGTCAGGCAGAACCTCCCAGCTGAGATTGATTGAACAACTTTTGTCAGGTCAACCTTGACATGTGTGGTCTTGTTGCATTGTCAAGATAAAAGTATGCAATGTTCATATGTGAACTATGATAAAATGGTCACAACAAAGTGTTTTGCTCTTTTCTTGCATAGTCAGGAGTGAGTTGACTTCCACCATCTGGACATCATCCAATAAGGACAGAGACCTTCCTGAGCAAGGCTTATCCTTGACTTTATATTGCCCAGCTTTAAATTTATTGAATGAACCAATAGTAGATTATATACTTGGGGATGACATTCTTACCAAATGATTGCACCATATAGTAATAAGATTCAGCTGCTTTTACACCAAATTGAAAATTGTTAAGTGCACATGTGCAAATTTGGCCATGAAAAAGCATTAGCAAACTTGACAATGCCACACACACAAACACACTATCTTTTCACTTATGATTGTGCACCTCACCACCTTTCATTTACACACTCCACAAGAAACTTGTAAATGTCATCTGTCAAAGAACAATTCAAATATTCTAGAGGGGTATAGAAAATTCCAGAAACTTTTGCATCAACCCAATGCATTAAACACACAAATGATTATACATAGAAGAAAAAGAAATTATTGATTTATTGATATATTAGTTAATAGAACTTTTGCAATTTCATACTTTTGATCCCCAAATTCCAATCTTTATACTTTTTTCTAGGATAAATAGATAAAATACAATATAATCATTTTAAATTATCATGATCAATAAAAACATATAATATTTTTTAGAAATTATCTGAATTTTCAAAAAATAATAAAAACACACACAATTTTTATATTATTTGATATATTGTGTGTATGATTAATACATCAAGTTATTGTAATTGAAGTACCTTTATTTAGCAGTTCAAATGCAACTATATTTGGAATGAAAACATTTCAAAATATGTGGAAGACATTTCCATAAAAAATAAATTTGTACCAAAACTCACCACTATGACACTTTTGGCATTGAGCATTATCCTCTGCACCTTACAGATGCAGAGTATAATGCTCAATGTTGTCCCTATTCTGAAGGTGAATAAACAGTGTGTTCCACAGCCAACAATAATTGATTTTCTGTGATGATTTTCTCTTGTAAGATAATATGTGAAGGTGTTCCATCTTGTAAGAAAGTGGTTGGTTGGCTCCAAGCATTTTGCTGTTGCAGTTGGATATAACAAAAGTGTGAGAATCTCTTGGTATCTTTGGGCAGTCACAGAGCATGTCACAGGCCCATTGGAACTAGCTTGTTCAAAAAAGAGTAGTTCAAGAAAATGTGACTATGAATCCATGCCACACTAATTTTAAGCAAGTGCAGTGGAATCTGTTGGAAAACATGAGGGTTATCTGCAGCCAAAATGCAACAGTTGTGGGTGTTTGCTGTTCTACCAAGGTAAAAATCTGCCTCATTGGTCCATGTAATATTCCATGGCTAGGACATGTCCATCTCCATTCTGACAAGAAAAGTAAATGCACAGATCAGTCTAGTTTTCCTATTGGTAGCAAAAAATTGCTGGTTGTGGGCAGTTTGACACAGGTAACAATGCACCAACTTTCTCAGTACCTTTGACACTATGCCATAGGATACATCCAACTGTCATGACACTGCTCATGCACTAATGGAGCCTGCAACAGTATTCATTGACTGTTCAAAAGCAGCTGTAATAACATCTTCACAACTTGAGAAGTGGTAAGTTTGCATCCTCAATCAGATCAAACTTTCATATTACTAGTTTCCTTAAATTAATTGCTCATTCTCCTAAGAGTTTGTGGAATCAGTGGTCCTCTGTGTAAATTTATAAAGTGCAGTTGAAGCACTACTATTGCATTCATAAAACAGCTTCACAAAAAATGTTTTTGTAAGGCAATGATCATCTTAGTTGATAAGAATGTGATACTGAGCAGTTGTGGTCACTTTTATATCCAGAACTTGGCTGAAACATGTTATTTATGCAAAGGAAACTGCTTTTTCATTGCTTACGGCACCAAATACACCAAATACATAGTAGTGAATTTTGGAACTAATTTTTCTTTTTACAGAAACATCTTCCACTTCTTGAAATGCAATCATACCAGATTTGGTTGAATTTACACTGCTAAATATCTCCTGATAGTATTGAATAGGAATACTTTAATTACAATCAGTCAAAATATATAGCATTTTATTACTATATACTATAAATGTTTGATGCAATCTGTGAAAAGGTAAATTTTGATGCAGAGCAAAAAAAATGATCTAAACATGGTCAAAATTGTTAATTTTTAGGTATCAATGCCAAATGTTTCTAGTAACGTTTGATAACATTTTAAGCCTTAAATGCCATCTTATATACTACTATTATTTTGTAGAATAAGATGCACTCAAATAATCAATACCTTTTTATAGATCACATCATACATTATGTTTTATTACAATATAATATAAATATTCAAATTTTAAACTAATAAATTTAATAAATACATAAAAATATAAATACGACTTTAACAAAGGTAAAACCTTGCTTTTGTCATTCTTTTCGGATGCTTTAGCTGATTTTACATCTTTTTGTGAAGGCAGTAGCTTCAAAAGGAAGGTCATCTCAGTAACTTTGTGTGAATTGTTTAAGAACTGCTGATGGTGTAAATGGCGAAAAGAATGACAAAAGCAAGGTTTTACCTTTGTTAAAGTCATATTTATATTTTTATGTATTTATTAAATGTAAATAATGCCAGTTATGTATTTCTATTATTTTTTTACTTAATAAATTTAATTTACCAAAATCTGTTCCATATTTCAATCCAGATTTGACTATCCAGCCTTTGCTACGAAAATAATGATAAGCAATGTATTTACATGGAAATCTTCCATCTAATGCCAACCAACAAAACTTTTTCCACATTTCAGAAATACTTAATTCCTGTAATAAACAATTATTAACTAATAATGACTTAACATATAATAATAAAATTTCCTATGAAATGGAAATTTTATTATTACAAAAAAAGAAAATGGAAACTGTAACATATTTTGTTACTAGTTTTCATTTTCTTTTTAAATTATGCTTCTCAATGAATTCAAATCTTATCTATTTTAGTTTAATATGAATTATAGTAAGCTATTAAGAGCTAATTAGATGAAAATTATTAATTTAAATATATGGACATAGCATTTAAATACAAGTAGATTTAATTCTATTATAGAGTAGATAACAACATTCATGACATATATTTTCAAGTGTTTTCCACTATTGCTAATATGATATGATAACACTTTACAAATACAACAACTTTCTTTTGTTTCACAACATAATCATTGCGTTAAATGCTCACTGTTGATCATGGAAGTCCTTTTTCAAGGTACAAGTAATGGAGATTAAATCATCCCCCTAAAAAGCATGGACATTGGTTTATTTGAAATGATAAATCATCTATGGTGCATGCAGTTGTAACCAATAAAATAATGTTCCATTTTTAAAAAAATTACATTGTAATTACATTATCTTATCAAATTTATTAAATTTAAAACCTGAGGATGATCAATTAAGATTATCAAGAGCATTTGTTTACATACTTGAAAAAAACCTATCTTTGAGTACAATTCTGGTCTCATTTCTTTCCAACAAATGTTTTCAGTTCCTTTAATAAGCCTGTATCAAGTCTGTCACATTGTTACTTCATTTTCAATATTTAAAAAATATTAGAACACACATTATCGCTCGAGTGAACATTCCAATATAAAACATTGACATTTAGAATCTTTGACAGACCTGAAGCAGGCTTATCAAAGGAGCTGAAAATGATTGTCGAAGAGAAAAGCAAAACCAGAATTATACTCAAAGGTGTGTTTTTTCAAGTTCTCATTAGAAGATATCATCAGACTTTTTCATAGATACATTATTTATTACACTTAACATTTGATATAAATACTCAACTCTGAATGTATGGATATTGACATTATTGTATTGACAAAGACATGGATTCATGTCTTAAACTCACCTTCAGATTTTAATGGTTATCATATGGAGTGAACTGACTGAGTGGCATGTAATCAATACAGAATTTTTTTTAATTTTCTATAAATTAATTAAGGTATACATTGATTCCAGGAATTCTTTTTTTAATGAAAATTATGCTTTTTTTTTAGTCTTTATATGACAACATTAGCATTATTATTATTATACGAATGTATTAAAAAATGAAAATTATGAAATAAATTCAATAGTTCATTACTACAAATATATGGAATAGTTTCACTATATACTGTACTGCCTGCTTAATATAGTGAGCAATTATTAACTATTGAACTATTAATTAATTATTAAAAGTGTTACATATTGTAATGTAACACTTTTAAAAACCAAATTTGATTTTATTCTAATTTCATTTGAAACAAACTTAAAGGAAAACTTTTATGTAATTCTCTCTCTATTATATAATCATTTAACTTAAATTCTTTATTCAATAAACACTCAGATACAAGTTTGTAATCATCCCAATAACAGCTTAAATCACTGAGAAATAATCTTACAGAGCATGATTACAATATAAGGAGAGGACAGGGTTGAATAGATTTATCCAGAATAGTGCAATCCGAAGGTTCAATTGTTGAATGGGAAGAAGCTAAGGTTATAAAACTGGTGCACTCACTGACATTAGCAATGTGTTTGGAAAAGATGGAGATATGTAGTAGTAGTCTTTCAGGGAAGTGTTTGAACTATAAGGATGCCACAATTCTTCCCATGGCATGGAAACACATCGTCAAGAATTTATTAGAATCTAATCCATAATGCTCATTCAATGTGAAATTGATATTATGAATGCAATTTTTTCCTTTTTGTTTCATTTATCTTTATCATTTCCTGTTTTATTATTTTGTTACTGTAATCCATATGCCAATATTGTATTATTTATATATTTATTTTGAAATAAAATGACAATATATTCGAATGTCTTTACAATTTTAAATATGTTCTTACATGTTCTATGTGATAAGGAACGTTTGTCAAGGTTTCAGAATTTAAAACCTGATGATGGTCTGTTGAGCAGGTTGGAAATGTTAGTTGATGTAATAAATTGTTTCTCAATGATTTAAGGTGTTATTGTGATGATTGCAATTCTTTATTCATTTTAATTGAAATTAAGCAATTCAAAGTTTGAGTTTAATTCTCTAAATTGCTTTTATATCTCTTACATTTTCCATATAGCACTTAAATCACACCACCTCTAGTGTGTCATATCTTGTAATTTGGGGACTATTTCAAAAATAAATTCACAAAAATTATAAATCTTTGGATCTATAAAACTTTCATGTCATTAAAATGTTATAGGCTTTCTCATAATATATTTTTTCAATTAAAAGTATTTTAATATAACTATGATAATATATAAAAACAAACCTTATTACTTTCTTTTACAATTAAGCAACCTAATCCATATGATAAAAAAAATGCCTGAAAAAAATTTTATTTCATTATAATTTTAAAATTTATAATAATAATTTTACATTTTTAAAATTAGTAATCAGGGGAAAAAATTTAGGATAATTAAAATTAAATTACAAATTAAAATTTGACTAGAAAATTTACTTTGTGAGAATATATATTAGTTATTTAAAATACAATCATTGACAAAAAAGTTACATACCAAGAAGGGGGTATTTGAATCAAATAAAACTGTATTAGTGCAAATGTAATGATAATGATAAGTGATTAACATAGAAAAAAGCAATATTTCCTTGAAGAACAACAGTACAATTTAAAGTAACATTTTGTATCTTTTAGGATTTCCTCTTGCTTGCATACAGATAGCATTTTGGTCAGCCTAGAGGCATACATACACCATATACAGTGGAACCCCGGTTAACGAATGTCCTGGTTAATGACCAAATTGGTTAACAAACTTTTATTTTGCAAAAATTTTGTCTTGGATAACGAACGTAACGGTATTTTGTGTCAAATTTTAGTTGGTGTTAGGCATGCGCGAATTAAGCATTGCTTTTCCGAGTGTTTGTGCTATACTTCTTTTTTCAGTTTTGTGATTTATATATTTAATCAATATGGCATCAAAGAAAGAAAATAGTCATAGTGGCAATAGAAAACGACAATGCAATATAAACGACAATGCGCTATGGCATTTGAGAAAAATTTTGATTAAAAGAGTAAGACAATCAACTTTAGATCAATTTCTTGTTCCTTACGGAAAGAGTTTGTTTGTTTGTTAAGTTATGGCAACGCAACACTTGGGCGATCTGCCTAGGGGGAATGCCTTCTGGGAGGTGTTTTTAAGGGAAACAGGCCCCTATTTAGGCGTTACAAACGTGGAGAAAACCCGGAAAACTCAACGTGGCCAGCCCATCTGAGCGAGGTGCGAACCCACGAACGAACTCCCCATGTTCAAGGTACGAAGACCACTTAGCCACTGGCTAGTTTTTTTATTGAAAGAGACTTTGACTCGAAGAATCTTCCGATGAAGTGCTACCCGTTACTTTTTTGGAGGGATTCCCCTTCTAAGCATTAAGGTTCATATATCTCCACTTTTCTGCTACCAACTACAACAAACGAAGATATGTACAGTGCTATTTTATTAAACATAGTTTATATGTTTGTTGCTGTAATGATAGATACTACGTTCTCCTACATTTTCATCAAAGAAAATTACTGTATATTACAAATAAAATGACAAAAATTTCGGAGACTAGAATGGATTAATTGCATTTGCATTAATTTCTATGGGAAAAATTGCTTCGGTTAACAAACAATTCAGTTAACGAACAGAGTTGCGGAACGGATTAAGTTTGTTAACCAGGGTTCCACTGTACTGTCTGGTAATACATTTCCCACAGATGTTGAAACTGCTACTCCAGATCCCTCAAACTTATAGATGGCTGAATCTAGCAACCTATCTGATAATACAAATGCACAATAAATGACAAATCTGAACATTGGCAGGCCAAGGAAATGTGATGCGGCAAACATTTCTGAGAAATCCTGTGTGCAGCCAAGCATTAGCTTGCTGGAAAATGGGTGTTTACAGCCCTGTCAGGAAATGCAACACATGGAGGCATAGGATTTCCTGAAAGTAGCACTGTGCTGTCTATGTGTTCCTGTACATATGAGAGGGGTCCTCTCATCCCTAGTAGTGATACAGAAACACATAGACAGCACAGTGCTACTTTCAGGAAATCCTATGCCTCCATGTGTTGCATTTCATGACAGGGCTGTAAACACCCATTTTCCAGCAAGCTACTGCTTGGCTACACACAGGATTTCTCAGAAATGTTTGCCAAATAACATTTCCTTGGCCTGCCCAGTGTTCAGATTTGTCACTCATCAAGCATTTGTAGTATCAGATAGGTTACTAGATTCAGCCATCTATAAGTTTAAGGTGTGTTGGTGTGGAGAGGACTGTCATTTGAGAAGGGTCCTCTCCAGACCAACACACCAGTAGCAGGGCAATGTACTGCTCAACAGTAAAGGTAGGATTGAAGCACTCACCAGTAATCTTCCACAGAAATCTTCCTGAGGGAAGCAGGGTGGCTATTCACCCTGCTTCCCTCATCCTGAAAATGTGGCCTTTCTCAAACTCCATCAGTTCTATGAATGTCTTTGACTGCATTAAACAGGTATAATAGAACCATCACAAAGTGTTTAATTACATACAGTCGACCCCCGTATAAGATCATTGATTATTCCGTTTTATATGAATTCCATGTTGTACGAGTCACTTAGATTTTACAAATACGTGTACCGGGCTGTGAACGGCTCACGTATTTGTAAAATTTAAGTGACTTGTACAACATGGAATTCATATAAAACGGAATAATCAATGATCTTATACGGGGGTCGACTGTATAACACAAAATTAAACCAAATTGTAATGTTGATATTTATCAACAAACAAACATTTTCAACAGATTTTAGCTATCATTATCAGATTAATCCCCAGTGTTCAAAAATATACCATAACATTAAACGTTGATCTTTAAATGATGGCAAAGCACCATCTGATTTATTGTTGCTTTAGTGATGTGGAAAAATTAAAAAAAACCTCAACCTAAATAATCATGCTATATTTTGGAAATATTAATTATGAATTACAAATAAATTTGGCACTAGACTGCATTAACCGTCAATAGTTATACAATAGGCTTATATATATTGGAAGAGGAGATCGGACCGAAGGTCCAGGTAGCATAACTGGCAACACGTCCACACGGTAAGCAGGAATTGTGGGTTCGAGTCCTACTTTGGGCCGATTCTCTTCTTCCAGTTTATTATAAATTAATTAATTAAATATTATAATTATTAAATTTATTACAAGATGGCACCTAATGCCTCCTCTGGTGCCAAATTTATTTGTAATTTATAATTAATATTTCCAAAATATAGCCACAATTATTTACGGCAATTATGGGTGTCTATTTGCTAAGCATCAGGTTTCAGTAGATGTTTATATTGAATATTTGGACTTCAACCTACATCAGGCCTAGAGATCTTTATTTGATGTCCTATTTTAATTTTTCTTTATCGTTACAGCAACAACCAATCAGACAATGCTTCACCATCATTTAAATATCAATGTTCAATGGCATGTTTTATTTTTGAACATTGGGCTTAACCTGACAATGATAGCTAAAAGCTATTGAAAACATTTGTTTATTGGTAAATATTCCACATTTTTCTACTGAAATTTAGCTTAATTGTGTGTCACTAAACAGTTATTCAAAAACCTCCAAACAACATAAAGACTGAAATTTCTGAACACAGTCTCTGTGAGCCTTTATAAGGATACTGGAGTAGCAATTTTAAGAAACTCTGGTGGCATTACCTATCTTGCAATTGAACCATAGATATAATTGTTTATGTACCTGCTTTGAGATAGTTGTATGACAAGTTTTGCTGAAATCAGACAATTCTGACTGGGTGCATAACTTTACTTGTCAATGAATGTAATTAATAAATAAAGAAAATACCTCTTCAAACATCAGATACAATGTTTCATACTGATTTTTAGAACTTAAACTTGTCTCCTGACAGTGTTGTTGACATTCACCATCCTCATTAATTTCACTGTAAGTATTTTTTAATTAAATAAAACAAACAACATTAAATGAAATCATTCAGTTTTTGTCATAAAACATCTTACTCAAAATTAGATAAGCTTCTTCTTTTGTCTGAAAATTCAGGTATATCTTTTGATAAGTATCCTATGCCAAAGTTTCCCTATTATTTAAAATTATATTTAAAGGATCTTTTCAAATAAATTTAAAAAATTATTTGTAAAAACATTAATAAATTATTTTAAAATAAAAGTTCAATATTAATTTAAGCAAGTATTATTTTTATCATGTAAATTATTTCTATAGAAACCCTCAAAAAATTATGAAATTATAATCCTTTTTAAATTAATTTGAATTTCTTAGAACATCTATGATCTAAAAATATTGGTACTATAATATTAATATGCAGATTATGGGTGCAAAATGTTTCCTACTTCTTGCAAAGAAAAACAGAACCAAAACTGAAACTAATTTGAAGTATCAAAAATAATATTTTCTTCTTTCCACCAACAACATTTAAGAAATCAACAAACATTTTCAGTCTGATTTATAAGCTAACATCAGGTCTAAAGTCAAATACAACATAATTTGACTTTAGACCTGATGTTGGTCTATAAATCATGCTGAAAACATCTGTCAATTTATTAAATTTTTTTGGTGGAAAGAAAAAAAGGATCATTTTTAATATTCTTTCTTGTTTGTATATTAATATTTTAATTTTTGTAAAAGTTTCCCAATATGTAAATTAATTCAAAATGTTTGATTATTAAACAGAATTCATAAAATAATACTTCCATAATATATTAAAAAAAATACATGCAAATTTGCAGTTGAGAGGATGAAGAGATAAAGGGTCAGACTTAATAACGATTTTACTTGTTATTAGCATTTACAATTTTTTATAAAACCCACCCTACCATCAAAATTAAGTTGTTGCCATTTTATAATAATTAAAAATATAAACTTTTTAATAATAAAATATCATAACAGATGGCACCACTAAATGTCGCTGGGAAAGTTAAGCAACTTGTTGATGGATTTTTTTCAGTGCATTTATAATAGATAAATTTATAAAAGAAATATAGAATTTTTAAATTAATAATAGTAAATTTAATGTAGCCTATAACATAAGCAATAAGCAAAAGAAACAAATTTAATGAGAAACTAATGTTTTCTACTGCTTTTAGCAATCATTGTCAGGTTACAAATTGTTTAAAAAAGAACATACAAATTGAACATAAATTTTTAAGTGTGGAACTGGCATCTGATTGGATAGTGAAGTAAGCATGAATTTGGATCTTTACCAATTAAAAATTCTTTTAGAGAATTTCAAAATAAGATCTCTACACTTGCAAAAGTGTCAGTTGTGGCTCCTGGTTTCGTGTGCTTTTTCGTATGTTATTCTCGGAATACCATTTTAGTTTACACATCCGTGGAAAGAGCTCTTCAGCCCAGTTCGTATGGTATATTAATTATATAATTTTCTTAATTAGGGTGGGAGCTAAAGGGTTTTAAATTTTGCAATTTTCAGTAGGCTCTTGCGGGAAGGGGGATAAATCGGAAGGGGCACAGATTTGGGGGCAGTATTTACTATATCATTTTGTATTAGAGTGTAAATTTGGGGTAGATTGATGTATTTTTAACGGTGATATAAGCGTTTTATTCTATAACATTACCAGTTATGGAAATTTTCAAAAGTAACGAACTTTTAACAGTTTTGGTTAACGGTTTTTTTTTGTTTGTTCATTTAATTTAAATAATAATAAAACTTTAGTTAAATATTTATTGATCTCATTATATAAATATTTTAGATTTTAAGGATTTTTTTTTTTTCGGGATTTTAGTATTATATTTCAGTTCTCGGGTCATATCTTGTAGGGTTCTTTGGTTTTTGTTTTGGTTTGTCTTTTATTCTTTGGTTTTCTCGGGCTCGAGCTCTTTTCACTGGGTTATTGTTCGAGGTGCTCATCGACAGTATGGACAATATCAGGAGTGAAATGGAATCTAACGATCCCAGGGTTGTTTTAGCACCCTTTGATGACGGTGACATCAATTCTTCGCAGACACGAATTATTTTGGCTGAAACACAAAACGACCGGGGGGAGCCAGCTGAGGAGGAAATGATTAGGGACAGTGCAATCTTACTTGATCGTGTACTTGACCTCTGTCCAGGGAACACTAACTCAAGTATCAAAGTCAACCAAAGATTGGAATTGAGGAAATGTGCAAGAAAATTATATGGTTATCTGCACGAAATGTATGGAATAATTAAAGAAATCAGGAAAAATAAAAGAGGATCCACAGAGACACAAATGCCTAATATCCCACAGAAAACTTATGCGCAAATAGTGAAAACTACTAATAACTCAAGTTCTACAACCAAAATAATATCAAAATCTCTCTCATCTAAGATTAACAATGAGGACACAGGTGGAACACACGCTGTTCTTGTTTATCCTTCTCAAAAGGCTCAAGAAGAGCACACTGACATAAATAACATTGTGAATACGATTATGACAGAGGTAAACCCAGCTAATATTGGCAAAAAATTAAAGGAGTCAGGAAGATAAGGAATAAAGGAGCTTGCTTTAGGGTTGGTAGCTACAAAGACGGAGAGAAATTATTGAAAGCAATCAAAAAGATTCCATCCACTAAAGAAAAAATTAGATGCCACATAGCTGAAGGATGGAAACCACAAATAATTCTTCTTAATGTCCCAGAATCTGTTGAAAATGACAGTCTTTTAGAAATGGTATACAATCAAAATGACATTTGGCAAGAACTCAGTAAGGAAGAATTTTTAGAAACATGTAGAATCAGCACTATAATTACCAGAGGAAATATAAGAGAAAATTGTCATCATGTGGTAATATCAGTCTCACCCTATATTAGAAATTTACTAATCAAACACAAATATCTTTCATTGGCATGGGCAAACATTAAACTAGATGACTTTATACCAATTATTAGGTGCTTTCAATGCGCCAGCTTCAACCATATGGCAAAGGACTGTACCGAGAAAGCCCACTGCAGTCATTGCACGAAAGAACATAAATTCAATGAATGCAATGAAAAACAAAAAACACCGTGTTGCATTAATTGCATGAAGTATAATAGGGAGCAACCTGCAACAAAAAAAGTCCCGACAAATCATAATGCGTATAACAAAATATGTTTTACATTACAAAAATTGAAAGCTCAGAAAATTAAACAAACAGACTATGGGATCTAATGCTACTGGTAATCTAACAGGGACACCATATTTACACAGTGTACAAGGGACTACATATCAACATGCTGATATCACTGTTATTCAAATTAATGCGGAGAAATGTAAAGCAGCCTCTTCCCTTCTGATTAAGACAGTTGCAGAAAAGAAAGCGGATGTGATAATTATACAGGAGCCGTATACTTTAGATGGTGGCATTGTTCGGTTTGGTAACTGGAAAACATTCCCTCCCAAAGGCCTTTTCACGACACTGAAAATGGGGATTCTAGCTCCAAATAAATACTTAAACATGGACTTCTGCCCTTTACTCAGTTTGGATTATATTACCACGGTCCAGATTTCTCACAAGAATAAAATATCGTACATTACTTCGGTGTACAGCTCGCCATATGCAGAGATACAGGATCTTCTGATTAAATTAGACGACATCAGCAAACATATTAAGAATTCACCCTGGATTATAGCCAGTGATTGCAATGCAAAGTCGCCATTGTGGTTTAGCCCGATTGAAGATGTACGGGGCAGGAAACTCATAGACTTCTTATCCAGCCACAACATGGTTTCTTGCAATACCAGTAATTTACCAAATTTTCTTTATGCACAGAGGAGAAAGTTGGGTGGACATTTGTGCTGCAAACAGTTACGCTCTTAAATATATTGATAAATGCGAAACTGTAGAAGATATAACAGCCAGTGACCATAGATACATTATTTGGAAGCTCATTAACACTCCAGCACTAAAGACTGACAACAGCCTTAAAGGTTTTACAGACTGGAATACTTTCAAAATATACTTTAGCACTTTTTGGGCCTCCAAACAGATATACAACATGGACGTGGACTCATTAGCCGAGCATCTTAACTACTGTATTATTGAATCTTACCATCTTTCCACACATTATAAACAGATTACTAGGAATAACGTTCATTGGTGGAATAATGATCTTTCGGATCTTAGAAGGAAAACACGTAAGCTTCAAAAGAAATATCGGACAGAGACTGACCCGGAGGAAAAATCTGTGAAGAGAAGAGAATACTTGCAATGTTTTAATAATTATAAGACAAACATAAATAAAGCCCGGAGCCAAGCTTGGCATAAGTTCTGCACGCTAGCTAGCAAAACAAACGTGTGGAGTGAACCCTACTACGTAGTGTGTAAAAAGAGAGCAAGGGCAGAATATCCAGCTAACATTCTTAAATCGGATGGCACTTATACTACAGATTATACGGAAACGGTCAATTACCTTCTTGATACACACTTTCCTAATGATGATGAAGAAGACGATAACCATATTCAAGCAAATATTAGAAGAAATGCATCAGTTCTTCCGGACACAGAGGAGGATAGACCTTTTACATTCCTAGAAATAAGAAAAGCTATAAAATCAGTTAAAAATAGAAAAGTGCCAGGGCCAGATGGCATAACCCTGGAAATGTTAAAACAAGCATTCAACGCTGTGCCGGTGGCTCTTTCATATATATATAACAAATGCTTTGAAGAAGGATGTTTTCCGAGAATTTGGAAAGAGGCAGCAATTAAATTTATACCGAAACCCAGGATAACTGGCCGTTTTAAACCAACTCAGTATAGACCAATTAGTCTCTTATCTGTACCCGGCAAGGTACTGGATGGTTTAATTATTGAGAGAATAAACTTCCACTTATATAATGATAATTGGATGCACAAAGAGCAGTACGGATTTACTAAACAGTGTTCCACCTATCATGCGTTATATAGACTTATTACTTTTATTAAAGAAGCATGGACTCGTAATGAACATGTGTTGATAGTTACCATAGATTACAGAAATGCTTTCAATACTTTATGGTGGCTAGCGCTTTTTCATCAGCTTCGACAGGCCGGATGTCCGAAAAATCTATTTACCATCCTTAAGAGTTATTTAACAGAGAGAACAGCAGGAGTATACCATCAA